AGTGGGGCTACCATAGTGGTTGAATTTCACGGATTTTCAACCAAAAAAATATTTATGAGTATCATTGAAGCCCCATTCCTACTTCGTCTTTGACATGTGGAAATGCCAGAAGGTGCTCAAAGGTATTTTTGTCAAGTATTTTGCGTGATTTTTGTGGTGAACTTTGAAATTGTAATATACTTAATTCCGTAGTCTGGTAGTGAGACGCTACGACAGACCAACATCCTAGCCCAGGTGGACTCCCTTTCCTCCCTACGTAACGGAGGGAGTCCTGGGTAAAAAGTGCTCAAAACTGAACGAAAACATTTCTGACCAATAATTTCAATATTTTTACCTTGTTGGAGAAGCTAATTTTTACGTCGTAGTATTCTATGTGTCCTTATCTGTTGGGCCGCTGGGTTCAGGAATTCCATATGCGATGCTGACTGACGTCAATCAGGAAAATAAACTCGAAAGCAACGTTAAACTTGTACGTGTTTTTAGTCTCTTTTCATCAGTTTCTCACCGCCGAGTCTATTCTAGTCGTACATCATGTACGTCTGTGCAGCGTGTAGTCTGGTTCCCTAGACCGGACAATTATTCTCGACGCTCATATCACATCTGGTCCGGGGGACAGACTATGCCGCATGAATATGCAGTGCGCACGCGCGATTTGCTTAGTAACCACCCTCATACGCACGCGCACTTACTTGAAGGCGCGGTCGATAATCCAATGACCGAGTGTGTTTTCGCGCCAGTTACCAGAAAAATGTTTCGGCTTTGGTCATTGGTTGAGCATTTTCGTGACATCGGTTGGCTGGAGTGACGTCATGGTTCCAACCAAAACTAAACAAATGAGGGCACTAGCGTGCGTGCGCGATTTCGGATCGTACGCACGTACAGTTGTACATATTATGTACATTGTACATGACATACGACTCTGGGAATAAACTGATGAAAAGAGACTACACACATGACAAGTTTAACGTTGCTTTGGAGTTTATTTTCCTGATTAACGTCAGTCAGCATCGCATATGGAATTCTAGCCCCATAAATGTGGCCTATTTACTGGACTGCCTCCGTAAACATAGGCCACACATCCACATGTACAAAAACGTGTCGCACTTTGCCAAATTTTGATTTTCGCATTTAGGCTTAGTTTGTAGGGTTTTTTTTGCTTTAGAAGCATACTCACCCTCTTTATAGGCAAATCAGAAAGTGCTGCCTTTTTCAGATGTATATTTTTCGTGAAATTTCCAGATTCATTTTCACACGTTTGCGTATCAAAATTTCAACATGAAATTTCATAAAATTAGACATCTGAAAAAGGCAGCACTTTCTGATTAGCATATAAAGAGGGTGAGTATGCTTCTAAAGCAAAAAACCCCTACCAACTAAGCCTAAATGTGAAAATCAAAATTTGGCAAAGTGCGACACGTTTTTGTACATTGTGGATGTGTGGCTTATGTTTACGGAGGCAGTCCAGTAAATAGGCCACATTTATGGGGCTAATGTAGCTCTACTGAGTGGAGCGTTGAATTACGGGTGCCCCTACATACAAACGCTCCACCGATTTGCCATATTTTGGTGACACCGTCACAGTAGCATAGTCACAAACCCACGCGAGGACAAAAAGACCCCCCAAAAACGGTAAAGAGAATACAAATGAGAGAGACAGTTATCCTGGATTGATCTATACATTCTTGACATTCCATGAGACCCCTTATATTGTTCCCAAACAGCGAAAATTTTGACAAAAAACAGCAAAATAGTCTGAAAACTTACAGCTCAATGTGTTTGCAGGGAGGCTCAGTTCTTGAATCGACTTGTCGAATGAGGGCGTCTGACGTGACGTCACCGTCGTTGCTCGATCGCGAAGAAAAACAAGTTGCGCTTTATCAACGACTGTTTTGTGTAATGATACGTGCTCCGATCCGCGCCGCGCCGTACAACAGTATGGGCTTTGAACACACCCTCGGAGCACGTATCAATACACAAAACAGTCGTTGATAAAGCGCGACTTGTTTTTCTTCTTTTTGTAAGTTTTCAGACTATTTTGCTGTTTTTTGTCAACATTTTTGCTGTTTGGGAACAATATAAGGGGTCTCATGGAATGTCAAGAATGTATAGATCAATCCAGGATAACTGTTTCTCTCATTTGTATTCTCTTTACCGTTTTTTTGGGGGTCTTTTTGTCCTCGCGTGGGTTTGTGACTATGCTACTGTGACAGTGTCACCAAAGTATGGCAAATCGTAGCCCCATAAATGTGGCCTATTTACTGGACTGCCTCCGTAAACATAGGCCACACATCCACATGTACAAAAATCGTGTCGACTTTGCCAAATTTTGATTTTCACATTTAGGCTTAGTTTGTAGGATTTTTTTGCTTTAGAAGCATACTCACCCTCTTTATAGGCTAGTCAGAAAGTGCTGCCTTTTTCAGATGTCTAATTTTTGTGAAATTTCATGTTGAAATTTTGATACGCAAACGTGTAAAAATGAATCTGGAAATTTCACGAAAAATATACATCTGAAAAAGGCAGTACTTTCTGATTAGCCTATAAAGAGGGTGAGTATGCTTCTAAAGCAAAAAAAACCTACAAACTAAGCCCAAATGTGAAAATCAAAATTTGGCAAAGTCAACACGATTTTTGTACATGTGGATGTGTGGCCTATGTTTACGGAGGCAGTCCAGTAAATAGGCCACATTTATGGGGCTAGGCAAATCGGTGGAGCGTTTGTATGGAGGGGCACCCGTAATTCAACGCTCCACTCAGTAGAGCTAGGGCTAATGGAATTCCTGAACCCAGCGGCCTAATACTAATAGATAAGGATACATAGAGTATGTAGGCGTGAAATAAGCTTCTATAACGAGGTAAAACATAAGGTACAACTATAGAATGCAGGGCCACTTTACTCTACATCCGCGCCTCCGTACGGCTGCGTGGAGGCGTGGAACCGCAGTCGACCTACCTCCGAAAATCGATCGTGGAGTCGTGGAGCCGCAGAGAATTGCGCCCTCTATCGGTGCGCGTCTCTGCGACTCCGCAACTCCGCGCCTCCGCCACTCCGATCCAGTGTATAGTGCCCCGCGTCACGCAGAGAATTGCGCCCTCTATCGGTGCGCGTCTATGCGACTTTGCGACTCCGCGCCTCCGCCACTCCAGTATATAGTGCCCCGCGTCTCCGCGATTCTGCGACTCCAAGACTCCGCGCCTCCGCCACTCCAGACAGTGCCCCGTCGCCCTCCTCCCTCCCTAATTTGCGCGCCCATTTAAAGCGATTCTGCGACTCCAAGACTCCGCGCCTCCGCCACTCCAGACAGTGGGCCCTGTCGCCCTCCTCCCTTCCTAATTTGCGCGCCCATTTAAAATGGATATGGATGCTTCGTTCTCAAAAAAATTCCGCCGAGAATTGCGCCCTCTATCGGCGCGAGTCTCTGCGACTCCGCGACTCCGTGCCTCCGCCACTGCGGCCACTCCAGTGCCCCGCGTCTCCGCGATTCTGCGACTCCAAGACTCCGCGCCTCCGCCACTCCAGACAGTGCCCCCAACACATTTACAAGCACGCCCTCCCTTCCGATCCTTCATGAGAAGCTTAGAAGACAAGTGCAGTGCATTCCTTCGCTGTACTTAGCACTTTTTGCAGGTTTGCATTACTCCTATTCCATCCACGCCTCCAGGCAAAATAAAAAACCTTGCTTCGGCGTGGCCCTGCATTCTATAGTTGCTCCCAAAACTCTGGTAAAAATGTTGGGTGGTTTCATGTAGAGAATTCTTGCCCTGGACGTTAGCTCTACTGAGTGGAGCGTTGCATTACGGGTACCCCTCCATACTAGCCCCACTAGTGTGGCCGTCGGTATGCTGGGCTGAACCTCTTGGCCACACACCGTGGTACCGCGCGCTACTGAGGACGAAGTTTCATAAAATCTGCGGTCCGTTTCTTACATTCTCAGTTTCTGACTTTCTTATGGTTGTATTCTATGATGTTTCACCTATCACTTCTGGGATGCTTAGGTCTAATGATGTTCCATTTTCCGAGATATTCTTCAATCTTTCTGGAGCCCATATGCACTCGTGAAACGTCTGGTGATGGCAGCCATTTTGAATGGGACAAGAGATGACCACAAGCTGTGACGTCGCGTTTATGCAAATTGCTTGTCGAGCGCGCGAGGGCGCGAGTTGCAAATGCGACGGCTGTTTCCTGTGCCGTAGATCCTGAATAGAGATCGGTGCACGTGGCCCCCTGACGATAAATGCATGGTACAGGAAACAGCCGTCGCATTTGCAACTCGCGCCCTCGCGCGCTCGACAAGCAATTTGCATAAACGCAACGTCACAGTTTGAGGTCATCTCTTGTCCCATTCAAAATGGCTGCCATCACCAGACGTTTCACGAGTGCATATGGGCTCCAGAAAGATTGAAGAATATCTCGGAAAATGGAACATCATTAGACCTAAGCATCCCAGAAGTGATAGGTGAAACATCATAGAATACAACCATAAGAAAGTCAGAAACTGAGAATGTAAGAAACGGACCGCAGATTTTATGAAACTTCGTCCTCAGTAGCGCGCGGTACCACGGTGTGTGGCCAGAGGTTCAGCGCAGCATACCGACGGCCACACTAGTGGGGCTACCCTCCATACCAACGCTCCACCGATTCGCCATACTTTGGTAGCACCATCACAGTAGCATAGTCACAAACCCACGCGAGGACAAAAAGACCCCAAAAAACCGGTAAAGAGATTACAAATGAGAGTGACATCCTGGATTGATCTATACATTCTTGACATTCCATGAGACCCCTTATATTGTTCCCAAACAGGGAACATTTTGGAAAAAAACAGCAAAATAGTCTGAAAACTTACAGTTCAATGTCCTCGCGTGGGTTTGTGACTATGCTACTGTGACGGTGCCACCAAAGTATGGCGAATCGGTGGAGCGTTGGTATGGAGGGGTACCGGTAATTCAACGCTCCACTCAGTAGAGCTAAGTGGGACTAGGCCTAATGTTATACTCACACTGGTTCCTGCGGCTGAGCTCTTCCCCTTTCCGTACCCACTAACGTTAGCTGCTACACAAAGTGTCACTGGAAGTGGAAAACAAATTTTCTTCAAGTTTGACACTATACATAAATTAATAAAGTCCTACACAACTCCCCCGATTCAGAGTGAGAATACGAGTACGTACATATACAAGGGTGTAACAATTTTGTTTTCTTTGTATTTTGGACAGTATAATGTTTACGCGTGGTACACAAGACTGCGCATGTGTACAAAACATCTTTAAGAAAAATGCCCTAATAGTAAAAAGTAAAACCTAGTCCTGGAACCTAAGTAAAACGTAATCACATCTTCTAATATCAATGTTACGTAAATTCTTTAATTTACAAATAATCAATCTTATTAGTCGTTATCCTTTATGGCGCATACATTTTCCGAGTTGAATTTCCATGGATCTACATTTTGCGACGCACCTTTTTAGACTGGTTCACTGGTGGTTCCCTTGGATAGTGCTCATAGTGCTAGTCTAGTTGAAGACCCAGCCTCGACTCCATGGGCGCGTGCGCGTTCCTTCACTCGCGCAAGGCATGATGGGAAACAACATGGCGCAGCAAGATCTCGAATTTTTTTAAACTTTGTGGTATGAAAGGACTTAGGGAGCAAGTAACCAAAATAGACTGCCATGGTTACGGGCCATTATGTGTTTTGGCCATTTTTCGGCAATTTTGAGGCTGCAAAAATTCTTTTTCGCGTTATTTTCAAAGGTCATCCAGCCAAACTGCAAAGTAATGTCACAAAAGTAACTATATCACGACAAAGTATCATCCTTACCCTTACAAGAAAAAAAATAGAAACACTTCTGAAAAATCTCCTTTATACTATTTTTAGACCCTATAATACAGCATGTTTTACCCCATTTTTATCCCTCCAAAATGGCACTTGCCAGGGCACTCAGAATAATTTCCCTTCGCCTATGGTTAGTTCAGACATTGGTCTTTTCATAAATCTGGTGAGAAAATTTTGGGTTATTGTATAGCCTTTGTGCAGTAGCGCTTCAAAAATGGTAAATTTCACAAAAACCTTAAAATGTGTATTTTCAGTGTTTTCCTTTGTTTTGAGTAATAACTTGTATAATTGGTATTGTTCATGAATCTAGCACATTTTTACAAACAGAATTAGACTGTGTATCATTTCTAGACCATTGGATGAATAGTAGGTCGTGTACTTCCCCCCCCCCCACACCTGGCTATGCCCCGCCCACTCCCCCTGTGCCACCGAATTTTGAACTTGTATGTTGCATAACGAAACCTAAATATGCAAGTGAACACTTTAGAAATAACATAGAGTTCCTTTTCACAGCATCCCCTTCCCCCACCCCTGGGGCATTGCTTGGGGTTGAGGGTGGGGTGTGACCACCCACCAATAACTTGGCATTGTCAGTACAATCATTGTCACATGGGCAAAACTCATGTGTTTGCAAGCCGCAATGAATAATGGCCATATCAATTGTTCTCTGATTGAACTGCACCATCATTCCAATGATGTCCAGTCCTCCCCCTCCTAGCTAGGCCCCCCCCCCCCCTTCCCTTGCCACCAAATTCAGATTTTGATTTCTGCTTGTATTTGCCTAAATTAATATTGTAAATAGATGTCAATTTGCAAGTGAAGCTTTCATAATCTTCACCAACAGGCGTACCCGTCTCACAGCCCACCCCCTGCCATCCCTCTTCCTACTCCAGTGCTCATTATGAGCAACTACCCCTCCCCTCCCAAAGAATTGTACAGAATATGTATTTTTGTCAAGGTTACATATTGCCTTGCGGAAAGTCCACATATTTACATACACTATGTAGGTTTCGCTATTTTTTTGTCAACGTGGGTGTTAATGTCAAAAATGTTTGTCAGCGGGCGTTGTAGCGCGCGCGCCTGTCGCACGCGCGCCTTTGCGCGTGTGCGCTGCGCTTACAAAAATAATTGTTCCATTTCATATTATATAACTGACATACAGATCCTAGTCATTTGATTGGTGGAACTCACATCACGTGGCATTCGTTATTGCTCCCATTCATGCCACGGCTCAAAAAGTACTATCCGCCCATGGGGAATGGGAAATACTATTCAACAGTTAGGATCATGACGCGGTATTTGTGTGCAAATGCATGCTGGTGTGCGCGTTCAGCGTTGCGCGTAGCGCGTATTGTTCCAAAGAGCCAGCGCTACAGCGTTGGGTTCAAACATTTTCGTGAAGGGGTGGTTTGGAAGAGACAAATACACTTTCCTCCAGGTTTGTATTGAAATAAAAGTTCAAATATATCAAATGACAAGGATCTATATGTCAGTTAAATAAAACAAATATTGAGTGGCTTTAAATTGTGAAATGGGAGGAATATTATCGCTCGGTAAAATCTGGACTTTTCCATTTCACTCGGCTTCGCCTCGTGAAATGGAAAAGTCCAGATTTTACCTTGCGATAATATTCCTCCCATTCCACGCTGAGCCACTCAATATTTGTATATTAGCTTCTTCATTGATTTTTACATGTTTGTAAAATAAACATCGTTCATATAACTATAAGTGTGCTACAAATGCCAACAAATTCGTAAGTAAATTAAAATACTCTTTATTGATTCATTCATTTTCGGGCTGCATGGATGTTCATGACCAAGATATGATGTATATTATAGCTTATTGGAGCCTATCGTAATGTTCGTATTGTTTTACATATAACTTATCGTAATGTTTGTATTGTTTTTTGCATGTTTATTGTTACAGATTAAACTAGCCCAGTGGACTCCTCCGTTGTGTACAGTCGCAATGCAATGTAGACGACGTCCAACCTGGGCTAAGATTAAACGAAGTTATCACCAGTCGTGTGATGTCGGTGACCAAATTATTTGTAGCACAGCCGCCGCCGTCGGTATCTTCTACAGTGGGAGTGGTTTGGAATATCTGGAAAGCGCAGGGGGGGTGTAATATGGATACATGTACATGGTACATGTATATGGTACATGTACATAATGCTGAATTTTTTTTAACATAATTGCATTTACTTTATTATTTTCAATACAGAGAAGTGATATGGCGATTACGAGAGCAAATAACTCATATTGTTATATTGAAATACATGTACTTTAAAACAACTATCACTCTAGTGAAAACTCAAAATGGCCTCTATATTGATTGATTGATTGAATTGAATGTGTAAATATGGTCAGATCAAGCACATATAAAGTCGAATATAGTACCGTTATGGGTGCTGCTATGCCCTCCAAAATTGTAATTTCGTAATCAGCATGACATTTTGAGTCTCTTTCAAACTGTCATCAGCATTCAACATGGCCACACTTCTGTGGTGCATCCATTGTTACATGGCAAGCAATCTAAATGTATTGGTGCTTATAAATTACAGGGTTTTTTGCATACAAGCAGGGAATGTTTTGTTAATGTGTTAATTAAAAAAACAAACCAACTTCCCCACCGAACCACAAGTGCTTACATATGTTATCCCTTTCTGGCGGGTATTTGGGTTTGTTCTGAAAGGGAGGGGTACAGCACACTGTGATCCCATGTTGATTTGCATATACTTTGACCGATTTTCCTACAACCGATTTGGCAGGAAAATATTGGTTGACCATTAATTACTCTATAATATGACATTCTTGGTTCTTTTGCTGTTACCACTAGAGGTGTTTTCTATATATTTTTCCAAACTCTTGTCTAGATAACATTTTGGGCATAATTTCTGTATTTATGTGTAAACATTCATACCAGTCAAGCAATGCATCCATTGTCACTGCCATAGGGACTTATAATTACTGATTTTATTCCAAAAATGTGTGGGTTTTCAACCCGAATTGGCAAAACTAAAGTAAATATACACAATTGTGGTGATGTTATTTAATGCTCTGCAATTGATTCATGTAATAACTATAAGAAACGTATAAATCAAAACAAACAAAATGGTACAGATTGAGAGGTGAAAATTACATGCGCTTCTCGCACCAATGGCGGCCACGTTACGTACTGAGCATGTATTGTTGTTAATTATATAGCCATGAATTTCAGTCATAGGATAATACTTCCGTGATAGGCTTTGAAAATGGAAGCATTTTTGACTTTATAAGTTTATGAGCACCGATGTCTTTACAACGGTTGCCATGGTAATAATAAGCACACTACCGAAGTGTATTCGGTGCCACAACACTTCATGTTGATCAGGCAAATACAAATTTGGAGGACACTTCCACTAAAAAAATACTTCAGACCCTAACTACATGTATATAGCCAAGTCAAGTCAGAGTGAAATTCATGCAATCAAATTGATGCTGTGTTCTCTCGGAGCTAGCTGTCACTGGAGTGATCGTTGTTTTAAAGTACATGTATTTCAATATAAACAAATAAGAGTTAGTTGCTCTCTAAATCGACAGCTCTTTTCCGTTTTGAAAATAATAAAATAAACGTCATTTTGTTCACCACACCTTTTACTGTAATTCCAAAGTGGCTTGCAATATAAACAAATGTGTACAGCGTACATGCGTGTGTCCAGATCACCCTTCCCACCCCCAACCCCAAGCAATGCCCCGGGGGTGGGGGAAGGGGAGGCTGTGAAAAGGAACTCTGTTATTTCTAAAGTGTTCACTTGCATATTATTAGTTTACATTTGTTTCGTTATGCAACATACACGTTCTAAATTCGGTGGCACAAGGGAGTGGGCGGGGCCTAGCCAGGTGTGGGGGAAGTACACTACCTACTATTCATCCAATGGTCTAAAAATAATAAACAGTCTGGTTCTGTTTGTGAAAATGTGCTAGGTTCATGAACAATACCAATTATACAAGTTTATTACCCAAAACAAAGAAAAACACTGAAAATACGCTTTTTAAGGTTTTTGTGAAATTTACCATTTTTGGAGCGCTACTGCACAAAGGATATACAATAACCCAAACTTTTCTCACCAGATATGAAAAGACCAATGTCTGAACTAACCATAGCTGAAGGGAAATTATTCTGAGTGCCCTGGCAAGTGCCATTTTTGAGGGATAAAAATGGGTAAAAAATGCAATTTTGCTAGTTGTAAAAACATGCTGTATTATAGGGCCTAACAATAATATAAAGGAGATTTTTCAGAAGTGTTTTTATTTTTTTCTTGTAAGGGTAAGGACGATACTTTGTCGTGATATAGTTACTTTTGTGACATTACTTTGCAGTTTGGCTGGATGACCTTT